GGTGCTGTACCCATCGTGCTTGGTGCTGTGCCCATGGTGCTTGGTGCTGTATCCAGACATGCTTGGTGCTGTACCCATGGTGCTTGGTGCAGTGCCCATGGTGCTTGGTGCTGTACCCATGGTGCTTGGTGCAGTGCCCATGGTGCTTGGTGCTGTGCCCATGGTGCTTGGTGCTGTACCCATGCTGCTTGGTGCTGTATCCAGACATGCTTGGTGCTGTACCCATGGTGCTTGGTGCTGTACCCATGGTGCTTGGTGCAGTGCCCATGCTGCTTGGTGCTGTACCCATAGTGCTTGGTGCTGTACCCATGCTGCTTGGTGCTGTACCCAGACATGCTTGGTGCTGTACCCATGGTGCTTGGTGCTGTATCCAGACATGCTTGGTGCTGTACCCATGGTGCTTGGTGCAGTGCCCATGGTGCTTGGTGCAGTGCCCATGGTGCTTGGTGCTGTACCCATGGTGCTTGGTGCTGTGCCCATGGTGCTTGGTGCTGTACCCATAGTGCTTGGTGCTGTACCCATGGTGCTTGGTGCTGTACCCATGGTGCTTGGTGCTGTGCCCATGGTGCTTGGTGCTGTACCCAGACATGCTTGGTGCTGTATCCAGACATGCTTGGTGCTGTACCCATGGGGCTTGGTGCTGTACCCATGGTGCTTGGTGCTGTACCCATGGTGCTTGGTGCAGTGCCCATGGTGCTTGGTGCTTGGTGCTGTATCGATAGTGCTTGGTGCTGTACCCATGGTGCTTGGTGCTGTACCCATAGTGCTTGGTGCTGTACCCAGACATGCTTGGTGCTGTGCCCATGGTGCTTGGTGCTGTACCCATGGTGCTTGGTGCTGTACCCATGGTGCTTGGTACTATACCCATGGTGCTTGGTGCTGTGCCCATGGTGCTTGGTGCTGTACCCATGGTGCTTGGTGCTGTGCCCATAGTGCTTGGTGCTGTACCCAGACATGCTTGGTGCTGTGCCCATAGTGCTTGGTGCTGTGCCCATGGTGCTTGGTGCTGTACCCATAGTGCTTGGTGCTGTACCCAGACATGCTTGGTGCTGTACCCAGACATGCTTGGTGTTGTACCCATAGTGCTTGGTGCTGTACCCATAGTGCTTGGTGCTGTACCCAGACATGCTTGGTGTTGTACCCATAGTGCTTGGTGCTGTGCCCAGACATGCTTGGTGCTGTGCTCATAGTGCTTGGTGCTGTGCCCAGACATGCTTGGTGCTGTGTCCATAGTGCTTGGTGCTGTACCCATAGTGTCTGTATCCAGGGAGACACTGAGATAGCTGCCATGGCCTGGCCAAGCTGTGTATTCATTGCTCTCCCTGTGTTACCTGTGCCTCAGCCTGCTTGTGAAGATTATTTGATATATATTTTGATTATTATAATATTATAGGTTGAAATGTCCGGCTGAAAAATACTTATTATGAAGATAATTTTATACCAGGCTGCAGAGAGAGGAGAATTCATCAAGGTTTTTTGAATATATCTTAGTTTGTATGTAGCATTCATATGCGGCGGACGTTTATTTACGGAATATTCTTTGAATAATGAATTGATTGATATCCTCAATAAACCATATTGCAGACTGCAAGCAGAACTTTTAATACACTTCCCACCACCAGTGTGTAGAGGGGATGATCCACATTGTAAACTGGTTCGAGCAAAATCCTTATCGACACATTGTTCCCGTCACAGTTTCTAATAGTTTGTCTCATTTGTTGTTAAATTCTCCCCATTATAATATCGTGCATTGTCGAATTCGTTGGCGCAATATAAATGCCAGAAATAATGTCTCTAAGAAAACATGGTGGATCAGGCAATACTATGGGAAACCATGCTCGATTGTATGTTTTATGGATAATCATAATGATGAGATAAGATAAGTATAATGATCTCTGATCCCTTTTATCATAGTCAATGATAATGTATATTGTTAGATTATTGATCATTGAAAGATGACATATAATCATGTGAAATATAATTGTTTTGTATTGATTAACTAGAAACACACCAGAACATTTGTCTGCAAAGGCTGGCGATCATGCATTTGCAGAAGTACAATCTACCCTTCCATCATAAAATAAATATTTTTAGAGGATTCAAAGACACCGAAGGAAGCCGTAATTCAAAGGGACACTATAGTCACCAAAACAACTTTAGCCTAATGAAGCAGGTTTGGTGTATAGATCATGCCCTTACAATTTCACTTCTAAATTCTCTGCCATTTAGGAGTTAAATCCATTTGTTTATCCAGCCCTGGGCACATGTGACTTGCACAGCCTTCCTAAACTTCCTGTAAAGGTACTCTATAAGATATGTCATCTAATGTTTACCCTTTCTTCATAGCAAATTATTTTCAATGTAGAATGTCTTATCTCCTGCTCTTTTAATAGCTTGCTAGGAGCCTACTGTGTGTATTAAAGTTCAATTTACAGAGCAGGAGATAAAAACATTTAAAGTAAGTTACAACTGATTGAAAATGAAACCATTTGTTTCATAGAGACTGTCTCAGTCACGGACCTAGGTGTGGCTAGGGCTGCATAAACAGAAACAAAAGTGATTTAACTCATAAATGGCAGCGAATTCAACAGACGCATGATCTATACACCAAAATTGCTTATTAAGCATATGTTGCTATGGTCGTTATAGTATTGCCTTACCATACAAAGAAAACACAGTATATAATACAATAAAAATTAATAGGAACACTCACAATATCAAGACTCATTGATAAGTCGGCTCTGAACTATGCAAACCACAAATCACCCTTATCCATGTGTGGCTGCACCAGAGCTCCACTGGAACATGCAGGATACTCTATTTGCTCCTGGTGCAAATTCTCACACAAAAAAAGTTTTAACTTAGTGTGTGATTAAGCACTCAGGAAAGTTGGTATTAAAAGTGACACTGCTTTATTTAGGCAGCGTAATGGCACACAAACAAAATCACTTACTGGAACTTTTATCAAGAGATCTTCTTTTTAATTTAGAGATCTTGATAAAAGTTCCAGTGAGGGACTTAAAGGGATTCTATAGCACAAGGAAAACAAAGCCCTTTCCCTGGCACAATAGGTTCCTGCAGTGCCCCACTCATTCGCGGCTGAAAGGGGTTAAAACTCCTCCAGTCACTTACTGAATTTCAGCGCTGATGTCCCTTGGCACTGAGTCAGGCTCCGCCTATGCTCCTCCCCCACTGACATCAGCCGGCGGGGGAGACCTAATGCGTATGCACGGCAATTGCCACACTCACGTTAGGATTTCCCCGTAGGAAAGCATTATTTAATGCTTTCCTATGGGGAAAACTCTGACACTGGAGGTCCTCATGCAGAGCGTGAGGATGTCCAGTGCCAGATAACAGACCAAAGGTTTGTTTCGATTCCGGAAGTCTCTCTAGTGGCTGTCTGGCAGACAGCCACTAGAGGAGGAGTTAATCCTCAGAGCTAATTATTGCAGTTTCTCAGAAAGTGCAATAATTACCACTGTAAGGTTAAGGGACATTGCACCCAGACCACTTGAACTGAAGTAGTCTGGGTGCCTTCAGTGTCCCTTTAACTATTTTGTGCTCACGATAAACTATAGCTATATCATGGGCAGCATGGACAGTTTGGGTAAGTACCTACCTCACTCTGGATACTTAAATTTTTCATTAAAAAAATGGAATATTTCTGAATCCAAAAGTTTTTTCCCAGAAAAATCACCAGATATTACTGTTGTCATGCTTTTTCCAAAGGAAGTTAGTAACGAACATAACTGCAGAATTTTTTAATTAGAGACTGTACCTTTAAGAGAATCACCAAATCGATTGAGAAAACTATTTCAGAATTGAGTTATCAATATTTCAAACCTCCCAACAATAGGTTATAAAATAAAAAGTTGAATTAACTGTCTAGTTAGCAGCAGTTTAGTAGTTTGTAGAGCAAGGTATTGATAGGTAGAGAGAGTAGCAATAGAAGCAGCAATTCTCAGTAATAAGAGATTGTAGCAAGTAGTAGCAACAATGTTATAGAAATAGCTAAAGTAGCAGATTGTAGCAAAAGAAGTCCTACAGCCCAGGATAAGTAGAGCAGAGTAATTCCGTTAAAGTGGCACTGTCATGGCCACATCTGTTTTTTTTTAACCCCCCTCCCGACTCCACTACATCTAATTGCCGCCCTAGTCATCCCCAAATGCCCCTAGTCCCCCATATTACCTATTTTTTCATCTTTGTTTTGTGGACCTAGGTCCTGGGTGCCACCATTTTTGTGTGGTCAGATGAAGTCCCTGTGGGATACCTTATCTGCCCACAATAGATAACGCTATAAAATGGCCCTAACAGATAATGGGTAGGAGACCTGTAGTCCTCCCTGTCACGGCCCCCACCCATGAGCGGCTGGTGGGGG